AAATTTTGAAATTTTTTTTAATAAATTTTAAGCATGTATGCTTCATTTATAAAGCGCTACATGGACTAGCCCCACCTCCTGTGTCTACTCTGTTCAAACCCAAGACTTCAAGTGGCCTGAGAACCAGGGCCTCCTCCAGAGGAGACTGAGGTCCCTCACAGAAGAACAACTTTTGGTCAGAACACTCTCTCTGTGAGAGCCATTAACATCTGGAACAGTCTTCCTCTGCACATACGGGAGAGCCCTACACTGATCAGCTTTACAGCTCAGCTCAAACTATAGATGAAAACAAACCAGTCATGTGACCACTACACTCTCAACATTTCCTTGTGTTGCTTATATTGAATATTATATGTTCTTTTTTATGTATTTGCCTGTCTAGGGACTATGAATGAAAACTAGCTTTGTAGCTATAATCCAGCATATTTACATTTGTTTTAATACTGACGTTCATTAATGTGCTTTGTCCCTATTCAAATAAATAAATAAATAATCAGATTTTCATTTCTAATCACAGATTATATCTCTAAATTTTATTAATTCAGAACATTTTCTAAATTTCTAATAAGGCTATCATTGGGAAGAAACATTGGGAGTGGATTTTTTTTCTTATTTTACTCATTTTGTTTATTTTTTTGGTTTGCTGATGTCACACATTTTAGGTCTTCTTCCAAAAGCATCTCTCACAGTGATACCTGACAGAAAGAAATTTTATATCTTAGAATATGTCGAAATTAGCTGTCAGGGAAACTCAGCTGACTGGAGAGGATCAGGAGAATTCAGCAACGCAGTCAATGTCACCTTACATAATATGTAAATAAGCTGTTTTCCCAACAATTTCAGTTATTCTTCAATTTAAATTATTTATCAAAAAAAATTTTTTGGGAATTTTGTTTGATTTTCCTTTGTGTTATATACTAACACAAAACAAAGGCATCTAAGAAAAGATTTTTTTTTTTTGTCATGATTTTTGTTAATCAAAGTATGATCTTAAGGAGGAAAACACTGTGGTTAAATGTTGTATGATAAAAAATATATATACACATGTATGTGTTCTGGAATCAAAATGTATCATATTTGGAACTAATGCTATATATAAAAATTTTAGCAATGTTAATCAAGCCTAGCAAACTACATAGGACATGTTCTTTTCATTAAAAATTATATTACCTTGTCGAACA